TAAATCTATTGATATATTGCTGAGCAAGGATTTTTCAAACGTTGTCAATTAGCCGTTACACATTTTACCGGAGGCTCGTGTTTGGAGTGTTAAGGTTAAGGGATCATCAAAATAGGGAGGATATCAGTGATAAATTTTGTAAACTTGTATTGGAAATGTAAAGTGTAAGTTTATTTAGCCTGGGTCATCAAATTATAAAGTATATCATGTTAGTGAGAAGAAGAGTTGACAGCATTTGAAATGTGATCTTATTTCACGAATATTTTTAAACAATTGTTTATTCCAGATTTGGTTTACCGAAATATATATTTTCGCTAGGGTTTGGAAATTATCCTTGATCCAATTTACGCTATCATTGTAATCTTCAATAATCCTGATGTTTTTCTGATACCCGGTATTCAAGATTTAATATCTGAACAAGTTATCATTATGGTTGAATAAATAGCCAACATAACAAAAGATTACTCCTTGTGTATCTAAAAAATAACTGATTTAGTTATATTTGAAAACATCTTGATAACATATCCTGTCATCCATGCAAGTTGTTTCAACAAATCTCAAATTATTTTACCGATTTTGTATTAAAGCCTTACGCTGATAACTGAAATATGATTGGCAGTGTTTTTTTTTTCGTACCATGCGGATAATATTTTAAGTTTTGAACTAACCTTGCATCATTTCATATTCTTGCATATTAACACCTTATAACAAAATTAGTCGAGGTTGATAACTTAATTAGTTATGTGATAATAACTGAAAACAAAATGTTATCTGAAATAACAAGACTTGTTTTCAAGATGATATCAGGTTGCTATTTTACTTTGCTCGGGTAATTCAGCAACACTAGGAAAGCTGCTATGTTGACCAAGTAACAAAAAGCTAACTTTGTTATCAGCTCCCATGTAGAATATTGAGGTGCTCATCATATTGTTGAGAGATTTGAAGTGATAGCTTCTGCTGCCATATCGTGAAAATTGTCATTTACAATAGAAAGACCAATTAGCACTGCATTTAGTCATTTGTCTGTACCTTTAAAAATAAAGCAAAGTTATTTGCGAAACCCCTTCAAAACGTGTATTAAATAAAAATTCTCAACTAAAGGGCATATGAAGAAGATAAAATTGTTTGAATGAAAAATCAAGATTGCAAAAACTGCCTGGGGACCCCAAGGTACAAACAAAGGGTTACATATCACATGTATGATGGCAGTTTTTTTTTCTATACACTGGTTTGCAGCTACCAAATTCAAAGGCTTGAGATCATCAAAACTGGAGACCTTCAGAAGATTTGCTTTAGAGGCCAAGATTCAAAGATTACAATGGTAACATAAGTGGAAATGATGATAGTTTCTAAAACCTTGTAAATGTAAATTTAAAAAAAAATCTTCCTAACTTGATGAGAAGGACAATTGATGATTTCAATGGTAGCATAAGTTGAGCAGTAAATTTAATTAATCAATTAATATGTTACGCTGAAATCAGATCAGACCCGAATTAATCCAAAAAGAGTATATTAAATTTAAATAAAAAAAGATCGCATTTAAAATACAATCAACCATCCTTTTTTCTTAAACAATATTATCTATAACCCGGTGGAAATTCAGGGTACTCCGACCACATTTCCCATACAAATCTCGATATTGTCCTTAACTTGATGGTCACTTCAATTCCGATTGAGAGAGAGAGAGTTTATTGTAAAGAGATTCCAGAGCATCCTCTCTCATTTTCTTTCTTTCCTTACCTCTATTGATATTTGAGATATTGAGAGACAAATATAGAGATTTTCTCTCAATATCTCTCATTCTGCATCTAACACTGCATGATTGCAATAGTCCAATATGTAAGCGTAGCTTCACTTGCGCGTTCACCGTTATCTCGAGAATCAGTACAGATATCGCAAAACGGACGAAAGTTTTGCCATTCAGGGTAAAAAATCACTTGTTTACTGATAGATTTTTTAAATTCTTTATTAAAGAGATTTTTAGCCTTAGGCTAGTTCGTCTCTAATTTACTGATAGATGCATATATTTTATTTGCAATGTTTTACCGTTCGCTATATTGGACTTAAACCTCTTACCACCTTTAAATGTTAACGAAAATAAACTAAATGTTGTATATGTCAGTTAGTTAGTCCCAATCATCATTTTCCACGAAGGAAAACATACGCCCGAACAATTTTGAAAAATATACACCACCCTAACTGAACATTCTTCGAAGTTGCAGAGCCTTGAAAACTTTCCAGGACCAAACTAATGTTTTCTTTTTAATCTGTGGTCTTGTAACACCGTACACAGTAAAAAATAAATTTTAATATTACGTCCAAGAGGATGCACTTCAATCATGTCGAAAATCTCAATCTAATTTTGATGGCCACAAAAATAAACAAATACAGTAAAAAGCAGTGTAATATCAGTTCATGAACTGTATTAAAGATAATTTTGTCCTTTTTGGCTAGTAATATTACACCATATTTTCGACACGATTGAAGTGCATCCACTTTGATGTGAAATCAAAATTATTTTTTGCTGTGTATTTGCGTGCTCTCTCGCTGTCAAAAAAATCTAGTGTTGGATTTCAAAACCACACAGTACAAGATTTATGTTGTGCTTTGCGCGTGCTGCCAGATGAACTGGTAAAAATCATAGGTGACTGAAAATGGATGGATTTTAAAATCTTTTCAATTAAAAATTTAAGCTTGTTTCAACTAAGGCAGAGAAAAAATCGCATGTAAATTTAAGAAGCTCCTGCAGTGTGCAATCACACTTGAATGTTGCATAGTATAAAAACGATAATGATAACAATACTTTTCCATCGATTCGAAAACGCGTTCTTGCAAGATTGAAAAACAAGCTATTCCATTTCAAACGACAACGAAACCTACCTACATTGCAAAATAATTACACCCATTGTAAGCAACTATTGTCAGAAAAATAACAAACCAAACATACAGCTATCTCACGACTCATGATGGAATGTCTGGGAGGGAAGAACATGCATGCCATGATACCAATAATAGATGACCGAACATGTGTATTTGACAGCCGAACAAAGATGTATAATAGCAAACCAACCAACAACGGCTTGCTCAACTCACGCCAAGGACAACCTCATGTCTGCCGCGGGTTAGAACTAATCGCGCGACCTAGCCAACTATCCCGCACCTTCTTTTGTGTCGCGGGCCACAAGCCAATATCTTATGCTTTGTGGGAAAATCAAGCCGATGATCGTGTGAGAACTAGCAAATCCCCTCCGAACACCGCGTTCTCTCGGGCAATCGCGGGTACTTACTGTCAGTTGGAATGTAAATACACATTCGAACTGAAGCATACCGCATGCGGATGCAACCAATAAAAAAAAATTGCCATTAGAAGTCGTTTGAAAAATGAGAGTAGTAACGGCAGCAGCTCGTGGCTCGTGGCTCGTTATTGATCAAATATGGTATATAGTAAATGACGGAAAATTTGCGGAGAAATCGTGACTCGGATAACTTTGAAGCAGCAGCAACGAATGGTCTAGTTTGAGCTGGAGAGGATTGGCGCTTACTGATGGCGAAGAAAGAAATATAATAGTAAACTAATTTTCGATGCGGCCTTGAAGTTGCTGACCTGATGCCACGACTGGTAAAGTGTTGATGATGATGATGATGATTGTTTTCGATGTTTAATCGTTTCTGACGTGGAGAAAGGAAGCAACAGAAGTTGAGTCGGAGGAATGCCCGTTTGTGGTAGCATGCAATGGGGGATAAGTCGAAGAATAAGAATTCATGAGGCGGCTCCTAGAGGTCAAACGTCGCATGCTAATAAGAAAGTGCACAGTCGTAATAAACAAAACCCATGCACTAAACTTTGAAACTGCATTATATTACAAACCATAAATTCCCCGTAGTAAATGCCATTCAACCATAGCAGCACACACGCACACTACTGGTACGAAATTGACTGCAATGCGAAAGATTTAATGCGATGCACCGAAAATAAAATTCTTAATCCAAACGAATGTACAAGCAATGAACGAGCATTGCGAAGATAAACGTCATTGAAAATCCGGGCCATGCATTGGCTTGCCATATCGGGTCTTCTGCTCGTCATTCAAATGACTCACCACCATCCAGTAAATCTTCGATCGAGCGCATGCGGCCATTAATTCGATTTTCAACACTGCAATGTTAAAATTTGACCCGCCTGCAACTCCATCTTCAGAATCATCTCTGCTAAACCAGTAAACAGCAATGAGCGAAATTTAAAATGCAAAATTCCACGAACTCACTGATCCCCAACCGAGAGTGCACTCGGAAAACGACGAGATAAGGGAAACAACAACATAAAGCATCGCACTAATTCGGATGAACCGGTGAAATTACTCCATTTCATTGATCTAATTTTTGATCCCCTCTCCCCTTCTTCATTTTCCAACTTTTCCGGCGAATCAAAATTTCAGGTTAATTTTCGATCTTTATCGCATCGCTGCAGCTGCTGCTGGCGCGGAATTCCGAAATAAACGGTAATTATTATTATTCACCTCGTTTCGGTACAGAGGAAGATAGAGCGAGAGAGACCCCAACTATCGAACCAAAACCAAGCAGCGATAATTCTGCGCGAGTTGCACTTCAGCTGTTGTCGTGTAGGGTAGGCCTACGATTTCTTTCCGTGCTTGATTCGTTGCCTAACGATTTTCCCTCGCACTTCTTTTCGCTCCTGGTTGGATTTATTTTTTCAAATAAATTTCCCGCTTCGCTTTTTATTACGAATGCATCGAATATGAATGGACGCAAATGCCCAATAAGCTTCGATCGATCGCGAACTACCAAGGCTGTTGAAGGCTAATCTCAAACGGGTTGCATTTCCACAGCTGTTGCCACTACCTACTTTGCTGTGGATAGCAAACAATATCGACATGTGTGCGGCGTTGAATGTGAAGATGGAAGAGCAAATAGCAACAACAAAACAAAAGGAAAAGTTCCACCGATTCTGATTGATTACGTGAACGGGGCTCTCTTCTTACCTTTCGTAGTCGTAGAACTTCGATTTCGTTGGCCTCAACGCTCTTTCGCGTAGACGAAGATGAGCCGGAGCCGAACGGCACTGTGGATGATGATGAGGCTGTCGATGAGGATAGAGATGCTATGGATGTTGCCGTAGCTGCTGATGCTGACGCTGCACCCATCGAGAGTTTCGTTGGAGTTCCTCCGGGAGAGGCCATCTTGGAGTCCTGAAAGGAAAATTGATGAAACTATGAGAAGGAAGACAAGGAAGTGTTGATCAGGTATTTTAAAATCTATGATTGGGATAAAATATATCGTCTTAAGGCGAAGGTGGATCACTAACTTCTTCGATTTTTTTAATAACGCTACGCTCTAGTGCAGTGTTTCTCAATCTACGGGTCCCGGGCTGCTCTCTCGGGTGCGTTGCAAAAATTCTGACAGCTGAATTTATAATTGTGTTGGGATAATCCAAACAGATTTACAATAACAAACTTATGATTTTTTGTAATGCTAGAGTTAAAACTTAAATAGAGATAATTAAGATAGAGAGATAATAGAGATAAGAGATAATTAAATGTGTTCGAAAATTTTAACAAATTTTCAACCAAATTGATAAAAGCATTAAAATAATCTTAAACTAAAGTAAACTTTTTGCCAGATTTTAAATTTCTTAAATATGTTGGCATTTCAAAATCATTCAACAAGTTCAATGCCGTTCAAAGTATTATGGTGATTTCAAGGCCAATTTGGCAATTTTGAAGCCAGTTTGGAAAGTCGTGGCTTTTATATATATTGTCTGCTTTTTTGGGGGCTATTTTGACAATTTTGGGCAGTTTTGCTCGATTTTTAGCCATGTTTGCTAATTTTTTGATCATTTTTGGCATTATTTTGCATTTGGCATTTTTGGTGTTTTTAGAACATTATTTTAATTTTAAAGCTAGTTTGAAAAGTCTTATCATTTATCAAACCATTTTTCTCTGTTTAAGGGTCATCTTGAAATTTTGAACCCTTTTTCTGGCGTTTTTGGTCCATTTTTAAAAAGGTCAATAGTGTTTTAGTTTATTCTGTAAAAATGTCAACTCTTTTTGTGGTCTCAGGACAAATGGCCGAATGACGAATGGCCGATTGACAAATCGCCAAATGGATGAATAGCCGAATTGACGAATGGCCGAATGAGAAATGGCCGAATGGACGACACGAATGTCCAAACGAATTTCAATTTAACGGAACGATGGATTAATGAAATTAATTCCCTCAATCAACTTGACAATTGGTGAAGAAACATTTTATTTTAATGTTGTAGAAATCAGCAATAAGATCATTATATTAGGAAACAGTCTTATTGACAGTTGAAAGATATAACCTTAGATCTTAATAAATGAATAATATATTTTTAAATTTTAAATATTTTAAACATGAGCTGTTCTTGCAAAATACTTGTTTTACTGATTTTTGGGCGCTTTAGAATCAATATTATTAATAGAGATATTCCTTTCTTTTAAACATGAGCTATTCTTAAAAATTGTAATATTAATATCAAATAATAAAACAGTACTCCATATTGCCTTCACGGCCTTCAACGTTCGAAATAAAGTATGTAGAATCAAAACAAAAATTTGGGCATTAGACGGTTAATAGGACAGCATGAATTTTTCATCTGCTGTAGATTTTTTTTTTCATTTCATATAAGCAATCATTGGAGTCTCATCCATTTAGCCATTTGTCCATTCCGCCATTCGTCCATTCGGCCATTTGCCATTTGGCCATTCGTCATTCGGCCATTTGTCATAAGATACTTTTTGTAGGCATTCTTATATATCTGGGTATTTTTAAAGTTAATTTGGTTAACTACCTCATTTCCGGCCTATTAAGCACAACCCGCAATTAGTCTTTCTTAATCTAGCGCAGTTTAGCACCAAACGGAATGTTATTATTTCTGATTGCTTCCAAACTTATTTACCTTTCCGTACGTACCGTAAGATTTGATAAAGAGAAACCAATCGTTGAGATATTGTCAAAAGTCTAACACTGCTTCTTGACGCCAAACTCGGCCTACGGATTCTTAACTCGGCCTAACGCATTGAAACGCCATTGAAACGCCAATGATTTCACTTCGGCCTATCGGATGAAGATAAAAATTGATTCGGTCGGAGCACTTCTTTTGTTTTAGGGAATAATGGGTGCAAACCTTCATATCACGCGTTCTCATTGACTTCGTTCGGAAGCTTATTAACTAAAGAATCGTACCAAACGCATAATTGACTTGTTAACTCTGAAATCATGGATTTATTTGAAGTTTTCTGCTCGATAGGCCCAAAATGGGCGATAACTATTTTAGAGGGGGCGACCCCGGCGTAGTGGTTAACATCCATACCTCTCACGCCAAAGTCACGAGTTCAAATCTCACCCCCGGACAAGTCACGAATGACCCAATAGTGTTAAAGTGAATATAATAAAAAAAAACTATTTTAGAAATCACCAGTCTATGCCATTTCCAAATGACATATATTGTTTCAAACTGACACTCAATTCTTACTACTCGTTGGTGCTCTTGGGCCATTTTATAGGCCAAATAGTGTTTGAGATTATTTTGTGAAAACTTCAACTACTTTTTGGTAGGCATTCTTATGAAGCTGGGTACTTTAAAGTTAATTAAATATATTTAATTATTTTGGAAATTACCAGCCTTCGCCATTCCCACATGAAGTATTTTTTTCATCAAATTGACGATAAATTCTTAAGAGTTTTCCAAGAAGTATTTACGGCTATGCTGTGAAGCTCAATTTTCAGTAAGATCATTTAGTATAGGCATTCTCTTGTATCTGGGTATTTTTAAAGATAATTAGATAAATTTAACCATTTTAGATACCACTCGGCTTTGCCATTACCAAATGCAATATTTTTTTAAATCTAATTGATGCTCAATTCTTCCGAGTTGTTCTAGAAGTATATAAGGTTATTACATATAAATTTCAGCTCAATTTGCTTAGACATTCTTATGTATTAAGGTATGTTAAAATATGATTATCTAATCTAAATTTAACTATTTTATAAATCACCCGGCTTTTCCATTGCCAAATGAAATATTTGTTTAATCAAATTAAACCTCAATTCTTACGAGTTGTTCTAGAAGTATTTGCTCATTTAGTATAGAAATTCTCATGTATTTTAGATAATAGGTATCTAGATAAATTTTACTATCTTATCTGTATATATTCTATATCAATTAGATAAATATTACCATGGTTGTTTGGCTCAAAAAGCGTCTCTTGAACGACCAACTGTGTAATAGATGCTGTATCATGTCTCTGCAATTACTGCAATAGTGCCATCAGGAACAAACGACCATTGTATTAAAGATCTGCCATCTTGAATCAACCATTTGAAAATCATCCCTCAACTTGGAATAATGAGCAGAATTGACATGAATGTGTTACAATATTGCATTTAGAAGGATTGAACAATTTATCAACGACCCACATCCTTTCCCGATCAGAAAGGCATAACAAAATTATAACAACTGGAGTTATTTATTTAACAAAAAAAATGTAACAGAACGTGTTATAAACATTGGCTGGTTAGTTGTTAAAATGACAAAATTCATAACGAAAATTCTTCTAGTGGTAACAAAATTATAACAGATCTTGATATGATTATATCAAAATTATTACAAATTAGATATCATTTGATATATAATATTATTTAATAAGATTAATACACGTATATTCCAATATATGCAAATATAACAACCGTTGTTAGAAATGAGATATAAAATTTGCCATATTTCTGGCAATGGTTATGTCAATTATTTTTCAATTTTTTTTAATCTAAGTCAAATAATTAATTGGAATTCATCAACTGTAGGTCATTTTAATTAATTAAGAGTCATTTTCCTGGCTTCTTTTTGCATAATATGCCAGAATTCGTTTCATAATGTGTGGTGCTTCATCAGCCAAAGATTTTGCAGCAGCTGGTTTGTCTCCTCGAAAAATGCGGAGTTCCAACAACCGATCTGAGAGAAAGAAGGTTGTTTTAGTAATTCTGAACGAATGAATGGCTTGGTTGCCGTCGTTCGTGGTCTTCCACATGGATTGTTAGAGGATCGTCCATCAAATCATGAGATTCCTATGGTGATGGAATTTCATTCATCATCTGGTTCAGAATCAGTAGGCTGCCAATCTATTTCGGATCGTGGTCGGTAGAGTTTTCTGATGACGAATCAGAAAAATCGGAAGATTTTATACAAGCAGAATTCTTTGAAGGATACGATGAACGACGTTCCAGATCGGTATTTATTATCTTATTAATTCAAGCTAGACAAGACTGAGAACATCCTATCTTTTTTCAGGAGCCTTCGAGTTACGAAAATTTCATGACAATATTCATGTCAAAGACATAATGTTTATGGCACTGAATTTTTACATAAGACACAAGCTTACCCAATGAGGTTTGGAAGACTTTATGAAAATGTTGAATATTTTCACGATAGGCAAAACTTTTCCCGAAAGCTTTATCACTTTTACTAATGCTTTCACAGCTCCGAAATGGTTTATTTTTGTATGAATTTTCATGATGGGTATGTCGTCTTCTTGTTTAATAATGACACCACACTAACAACCTATTTTATTTTAAGATATGAAGCTACTCCACAACCTGAACCTCTATGCCCTGTGGAAAACTGTGGATCAATTTAAACGGACTTTTTGGTTAGTTACTTTTCCCATAGAGCAGCAAATCAGATATATTTTTTTGAAATACTCCAAAGAAATAGCTGAATACGAGACAACGGTTATTACTGAAGAAATTCGCGATATAAGCCGTTTATGATTTAAATATAAGCCGTTTATGATATAAACTTACTTTTTATACACATATGCCTCTAATTATCGTCACTTAGAAACAGAAAATAGTGAACAAACTTATATTTTGGAATCATTAACATGCTTGGCATGCACAGTTGTACACACCAACTGCTTATTTGTTAATAACTTTTCACTCAGTTGTTGAAATTTAGTTTTCTTTAAAGTAATTGATAGATTAGGATCATAGTTTACTGTAGACAAGCAAAGAGTAAATAAATCTTATCATTTGAATTAACACCAATGAATTTTTACACTTGAAATCCGAGATGTGCAGCGAGCATTTCTCACTTCATTTTTGCAACGCAAAATCAAATGCAGTTTATTACTAGAATTAAAATCTCCTTTTTTTACATATCAATAAAAAG